TTTTACCCCCCACATTCTCGGTAGGGAGGGAGGAAAAAAAGGGTGAGTAGTAGGCCAAGGGCTCGAAACAAAGCGTGAGAACTTGGATGGCGAAAAGCAAGCTCGAGTGAGAATTTCGGAAGGAGGGAGGCTAGAGGGCGGACAATTGGGTTAAAAATAGACAGGCGTGCTCCACGAGACTCGCTCTTTTCAGCTCCACCCTGAGGCCGCCTGCCTGGCCAGTGACTTGGGTCTGCGCGATAGCAGTTCTACCAGGCTCGGCCCCGCCTCCCGGACGCTGTGACTGGGATCGGGGGCGGAGCCTCAAGCACGGAACGTCACCGCGCCCCCCGCCGCCGTCGGGGTTTTCGCTGACGCACAGGTCCCGCCTCCTCCCTCCCTCTCCACCTCACAGCCCGAGAGCCGGGCGGAGAGCGAGCGTCAGTCGGCTGGGGCTCGGAGCTGCCTACATCTCCAGTGGGCGCTCGCTCGCTCCCGAGAGCCGCGTAGCTTCCCCCGCTGTAGAAGAAGTGAAGGAGAACGTCTTCAGTGGGCCTTCACGGCGCCGCAGTCTCTGAGCCCTCCCAGCCCGCCGCCCGTGACGGTGTGAGGCGACGGCGGACGATCGCCGCGAGCTGCATTAGCCGGGGCGGCCTCCGGTCCCCCTCCACCTCTCCTGCCCCCACCCCCTCGCTTCCCTCCTCCCACTTCCCGAGCTCCGGCGTGTCCCAGCCACGCTCGGCGCTGCTGCAGGAACAAAGGACCCCGCGGCGGCGGCGGCGGCGCCACCTCCGCCTGCGGCTCCGACCGGCGGCTCCCGGCCGCCTGGCACGCCCGTCCCGGAGGCCTCGGCCCGGCTTCTCCACCGCTGACCCTGCAGAGTGAGTGAGTGGCGGCAGGGCAGGCTGGGGGAGGGCACCCGGTACTTGTTTCTCCCTGCGGGTGGTAGTCTCCGGGACGCGGCGGAGCTGCGGGAGGAGCGGGCCCCGGATGGCGGCGTCTGAGGGAGAGCAGCCCGCGCGCCAGCTCAGGAAGCACAAAGGCGGAGGCGTCATCTTGTCGCCGCGGCTCGGTCCCTCGCACACACGGTCGGGGAACAATGCCCGCATGCGGCCTCCGCGGGCCGGCCTCGGGCCTTGCTCGCGACGCGCTCAGCCCTTCTTGGCAGCGGCGCCCGGCGTGGGCAGCCCAACGGGGAAAACACAAAGGCCGAGCAGGAGGCGGCCCCGTTCCTGGGCGCAAGCAGCCGTTCGGGGTCGGGGGTCGGCGCGGGGCCGGCGGAGCTGCTGTTGTGCATGACTCAGTGGTTTTGGGAACAGGCCCTGCTGGGCTTTCCTGAGCGAAGCCTTTGCACAAGTGGAGGGAGGGGGATGGGTACCCAGTGGGACTCGAACTTGCTTTCGAATCTGCTGGAACGTCGGAGGGGGGGGTTCTCTGTTGTGTTTGGGTCTTCCCGACGTCTCTGCGCTTCCTCCCCCAAGTTCCTTCGGTCTCAGGAAGGAAATGGAGCCCCTTGCCCTTTGTTTCGAGCATTTCGGCTGACGAAGCTACAATTCTTCGGTCACTTTCCACGGCACTCGGGGAGGCAGTGCTGGGTTTTGTTTTGTGTGTGAACGGCCAGCCAGGGTTCGCTTCATTGAGACCCTCCTAAGAACGGGATCTAAGGAGGGACCAGGATAAAGTCGTTTAGATCACTGCTCATTTTTAAACGTTTGTAAAGAAGAGGATTCCAGAACTCCATACATAGGATGTTGCACTTTTTTTAAGTGTGCTTAAAAATAAAAAAATTGTCGTGTTTTCTCCCTTACTTTATCAGGTCCTACACTAGGTATTCTACTTCTTTGGGCAAAAAGGGAACTGATGAGATCTGGAGAATAAAGACTTGCCCAAGGTCACTTGTTTAGTGGTAGGTTAGAGATAACTCATCTAACCACCGATGTGAGGGAGGGAGGTTCTTTGGAGTCCTTCATGTCCTCTGCATCTTGAAAGAAATCCATCCTGTGAATTTAAAAGCTCTTCTCATTTACATGCCCAGATTGGCATTTGTTGGTATTGGTATTTTTTGTTGTTGGTTTTTGTTGTTTTTTTTTTTTTCTGAGCTGTTAAAGGAAGGCACAAATTTTGTGTTTTCCAGCTATACATAAAAACTTGACACATCCATGCCCTAGTTTCCTAACTCTAAAGGCACTCCATCGGAACGATACTATTTTTTTCATTCCCCCAATCAAATAGGAAATCCCTATTCTGTCGAATGGTAAACTCTTGCTAGCCTCCCCCACTCCCACTCAGTCCCCAAGCCCCCCACCCCCCAAAATCCACATAATAGAATTCTTTATGCTTTGATGCCTTCGCTGCTGTTCTTTCTTGGTGTATAAACAACCTGACCATTTTGGCCTCATGAGTAATTAATGATGCTTGCATCTTCTGGATTGTATTTGAGATTGTCCTCTGGTTCTCCCTGCTGACATTTAAAAACACCCCCCCCCCAAAAAAAAAAAACAGCAACAACAACAACAACAAAAAAACACCCAAAACCCCAACATTAGTCGGATTTTATTTTGTTTTCGCATTATGTTAAATGTATGAACGCAGAATCTTTAGTTCTTGGGGTTGTGTAGGAGTAGCAGGCTCTGAGATATAAATAGAAGCTGATTTCAGAGGCCCCTGTTGACTGGGTTTTATGTGAGAGCCTCCATCCAGCTCAGCCTGTCACATTGCAGCCTTGTGACAGGTTGAGGAGCCCGCCCATGTGATCTAAGCTTCTGAGAAATATTAAGGCAAGCTATGCACATGTGATGGCATTTAAAAGCTGGCTTTCTAGGGGGTGGGGGGAATCTAAAAGATGGAAAACCAATAAGAGTATAATGCCTAGTACTTATGTGTCTTAGAATTGGAGGTGATTGATAGTTAATTAAGGGAGTTGAATTAGATAGGGCTTCCTCCATTTTATTTACATAAAAACACCAAAGATTTTAAGAGGACTGAAATTAACTAAAACTACTTAATGTGTGTTGACATTTGTATTGTATGCTAATTGTCTTTTTAACGGCTGGCTGGCTAATGTCTGATGACACGAAATTAGTATAGAAAAGATGAGCTAGCATAATCCTTAGCTGACAGCAAGAAATGCCAAACTTTTTGCATAGAGCAAAGATGGTTATACTTTGTACATGGTGAGTATATTCAAATGGATAACAATTTATTTGAAGCATTTTTGTACTGATGTTTTACTTAATATATTTTTTAAAACTCAGCAGAATGTGTTTATTAATAAACTTAAGTGATGTTGAAATGTTTACACTATACTGCTCCAAATGAGTCAGCTAAATTCCATTTACTATTTAAAGAGACAGTCTCAATTAAAGTAGTACTATTGTTCAAAGTAAGTGTGGACCTTGGTCACACTTCATACAAGATTTATTGGCTTGAAATGTTTGTATGGTGTCCTGTTGCTACAAAAGGAAGGGTTACTAACTTAAATAAATGTTACAGGGGAATGATTTTCAATAATCTGACCAGGTCACCTTTTTATGATTTTGGTAAAATGTGTTTAATACCTGAATGTTTCTATAACACATTAAAGAGTATAATGTAGTATTTGGTGATTGGGAAAAGCAATATGAAATTCTGAGTTCATATTTTAGAAGTACTTTCCTACCTGTGTAAAATGAAACCATAAGTACCTTTCATTATCAACACTAAATTAAGTGTATTTTTTTAGCAACATGAACTTCATCACCAAAAGGAATTATTATATTTAGCAAAACAATATTTGTGCTAGTTTTTAAAAAGCTTCTCTTGACAAGGGTATGCTTGCAGTATGAATTTCTTTCTGGTATCTTAGCATTAAATATAAATCATTTTATGTATTTATACTGCTTTACCTTTGCATACTGAATTTGAGCATAAAAAGGTTTCATTATTTTTGTGGTATGAGGAAGACAAATGCTTGTTAAAAGTTTTTAATAGCTAGAGCCTTTGACTGAGAAGTCTGGCTGATATTTTGTGCAGTGGTTTCTAGGCACTGACTTTTAAGTTCTCAGAACCAGATTTTCACACCTCACTTGTCCAACATAAAAGGAGCTTCCTAAGCATCTGACCCTTAAATTCTTAAAAGAGCTTTCTTCACTTTGCAGTGCCCAGTAAAAGGAATGGTTTAGGTGATCTTTTAGCTCTTTCAATATGAAGATATTTCAAAGTTTTAAAAAGCACAGATGCCTGGCTCCTTTTATCCAGTCATATTGTTAACTGGTGAGACGCTAGTGCATTCAGGTGTTTTAAGTCAGTTTTAAGAACCGCTATTAGACATCAAGTCAGTGGTTAATTGTAATGGTAGTTCTGTTTTGTTGTTTTTTTCATTTGCAACTACTATTGTTTTTGACTAATGAAGAAAAAGATGATTTGAAATGGTCTACTTGGATTATAAGCACAGAAAATAGCTTAAAGAAAACAGTTGCCCAAATGGATTAAAATATTATTCTGATACCTGGCAAACAGACCTTTTCCAGAAATTGGAACAGAACAATAGTGTCAGGCAAAATGGTTTTAATGTTTAATGATGACGACTAACAAAATTTATCAAGCTGTGACAGTTTCTTCTATAATGGCAATAAAACATTACTACTTTCTTTCACACACCCTTAATAACGTAACACAATTTGAGCCTTTCTTAGAAACAGACTTGGTTTTTAGAAGTAAAAACAGGCTTATGACTATATCAAGGAACCTTAATGGCACAGTGGTTAAAGCAATGACCTGTTAACCAAAAGGTCAGCAGTTTGACTCCTCCAGCTGCTCTGCAGGAGAATGATGTGGTGGTCCGCTTCCACAAAGGTTTACAGCCTTGGAAACCTTATGGAACAGTTCTCTGTTGTGTAGGGTCCCCATGAGTCAAAAATTGGCTCAACAAAAATGGGTTTGGGTTTTTGGTTTGATGGCTGTACCACACACTTAAATTGATTTTATTTTAGAGACATGTTAATTTCTAAAGTTTTGTTTTGTTTTGTTTATAGCAGAAAAATATGGCTCAGGAGACCAACCAGACCCCAGGGCCCATGCTGTGTAGTACAGGATGTGGCTTTTATGGGAATCCTAGGACAAATGGAATGTGTTCTGTGTGTTACAAAGAACATCTTCAGAGACAGCAGAATAGTGGCAGAATGAGCCCAATGGGTAAGTTGTTTCCAAGGAAAAATCACATTTGAGGAACTGGTGGACAGAAAATACAGAGGCAACAATTGGGGCCTGAGACTGAAAATCAATGCTGAAAGCCTCAAGGAGCGAGGACCTCTTGAGAAGAGCTTGAAATTAAAGCAGCAGCCCAAGACTGACCATATCAAGAATGGATGACTTACATACATACGCATTTTTATTTGAATACTCACTTAAAAGTGTAGGATTCTGAAATGCAGTGAAAGTTCTTAATTATACTCAGTAACCTAATTAAATGCAAGTATTTGTTACTTACTAATAGTCTTGATACTGAGTTATTTGTAGTATTGATTTGCTTCTTAATAAATCTTCTTCTTAAATAGGGACAGCTAGTGGTTCCAACAGTCCTACCTCAGATTCTGCATCTGTACAGAGAGCAGACACTAGTTTAAACAACTGTGAAGGTGCTGCGGGCAGCACATCTGAAAAATCAAGGTAAGTTGAGCATTTTGGTTTTTTTATTATCATAGGAAATCAAGGAGCTCTGGTAGCGTAGTGGTTACGAATCGGGCTGTGAACCTTAAGGTCAGCGGTTCGAGACTACCAGCCGCTCCGCTGGAGAAAGATGAGGCTTTCTACTCCCGTAAGGATTTACACCCTCGGAAACCCTGTACAGGGTCGCTATGGGTCGGAA